CACCACAGCACGCCGTGGGAGCCCTCGCCCAGATCGCAGGTTGCTGGAGCGCGGCCCACGTCGAGGACCTGCCCGCAGACCGCCTCGGGGCCCGCGCCCGCTGTCGCCATGCAGGACAGGAAGTTCCGCGGCCGCCGCTAGGCCCATGCTGCGCCTTGCGGAGGGATCGCGCCGCCGCCGCTGGCGGGTGGGAGCAGGGCCGGCGCCCCCCGGGGAGACCCGCAGAGCCGCCACCCGCTCAACCAACTGCCGCCTGCCCACCTGATGAAGTGACCATTGGGTGGGTGGAGGGAGGGGCGCGGCAGAGGAGGGCGCAGGAGCGGGGCTGGGCAGCGCGTGCGGATTGGCTCTCGTGGCCTGTGGGCGGGGCTACGCGCTCAGGGTGGGGACATATGTATAAGCTGCTGTCAACCCAGATTTCAGAGTAATAATGGGTCTATATTAGAGGTCAGTAACCAAGATCATTCAGACGTCAGGTGGAAGTTGGGCATGAGTCTCCATTGCAGGGGGCAGGTCAGGTCTGAAGATAAACATTTGGGAGTCACCAACATGTAGACGGATTCTGTGAAAAGGATGAGCTCACTTCAGTGGATACCATAAACAGAGACTAAAAAGGGTCCAGCACTAAACTCTGCAGGTCTTTCAAATGTCTGTGTAGGTCAGGGAGAACTGAAGCGGGAAGTGAGTACCTCCACGTCCTCATTGCCTTTCATCTATTTCCACGTCCTGTTCTTTCTGCTAAATCCTCTTCCTCTTCTTTACCTGCCAAACTCCTACTCGTCTAGATCCAGCTCAAAAGCCATGTCCTCTAGAGATTTCCTCATACTCTGATGGACAGTTGACCATGCTCCCCTATATAATTTGTTACAGCGGTCCCAGGACCGCTGTAACAAATTACCACCAATTGAGCAGCTTAAAACAACAGAAATGTCCTCCCTCTTAGTCCTGGAGACCAGAAGCCTGAAATCCAGGTGTCAGCAGGATGGGGCTCCTTCTAAAACCTGGAGGGGAGGTTTCCCAGTAGCCTGACGCATCCCTTCTAGAGGCCCCAAGCACCCCTCAGCTTGCAGCAGCGTCCCTCCAGTCTCTGTCTCCATCTTTCCAGGGCCTTTCTCCCTTGTGTCTGTGTCTCTCCTCCCTGTGTCTGTTATTAGGACAGTTGTCTTTGGATTTAGGGCCAACACTGACCACCCAGGATGATCTTATCCCTGGAGTCTTAGTTTAATTTTACTAGCAAATGTAATTTGGTTAAAGAATTGGTGTTTGGTAAAAAAGACAACCTTTGGTAATACGGTAACAGTCAATGGTTCTGGGATGAGAATAGAGGCATATCCTTTTGGGGACACTATTCAACCCACTGCCCCTCCTTTGAGTTTATTCATCTCTTTGTAGTTACCATCAATACAGCAGGTGATGGAGACACATAACAGTTTCTACTCCAATGAAACATACACACTCTACAGGGAAGATCTCTCTCCTAGGGGGAGAAAACTGGTTGGGAAAGCAGAAATAATTACTCTTTTTATGGCTAAAGCACAGATATACACTAAGTACATAAACTAACATACTCCATGTCTTTGATACTGAAATTTAGTAATGGGGGAAATCAGGAAAAAAATGTCGAAGAGGCCTCAGGGGATGGGAGATGGGGGTTGATGGTGAAAAAAGAAGTTTGAGAAACACTGACCTGGAATATTCTTGCCCAAATGTAGTTCCCATGCCCCTGTAATTCCCATACATAGCCCGTCTTCCCACACGAGTACTCATACACTAATCATTCCAACAGCACCAGCAAAGGGGGCTAAAAATACAAAATATGGCTCGGATGAGTAAGCAGCAAACACACTTGCCATTCGCAAGTTCCTAGATGTGCATTTAAGATTTAACTGGAGCCGCCAGCGCAGCCTCCAGTGAGAGCCCAGGCTAAGCCCTCCTCACCCCTCAGCGAACCTGCCCTCGGTCTGCCTCTGCCCCACACCCACACAATGAAAGCATTTTGAATTATAAACTCTAACAGGCACCTATTTAACCACTTAAAGTCTCAAAATCTAACGATTTGAAATACCGTAACTGCAGCCATTGCTCCCTTGAGAACCCTGTAATATTTAAACAGAATTTCAGTTACCAGAAAAAACTCTTTATAGATGGGAAAAGGGAGGAGTAGTGGTGGGGTGGGAAATGCACTGATTTAATGTTTTATTAAGAGGAAAAGTGAGTGGAGAGAGAGGCTTGCAGAACATCAGTCCCCAGTGCGGTGAATTTAGTAAGGCAGAGAGCAGTGCAAACTGGAAGACTTAGAAGTCTGAAGTTTAAACATCGCTTTTGTTTTCCCAAGCTCTAGATATTAATAACACCTTTGTGCAAATTATAAGTCTTCCCTTTTGGGAAGACAAACGGGAAGTTACACATTTGCATAAATCAATTGATTGCAATTCTGATGGCATTTCCAGCTTCCTTTCCTCTGTGCCATGTTCCTGGACCAAAAGACACGACCTCATTACACGGGACGTCCCTTCCACTGCACGGTGTTTGAAAATCTCACTTTCCTTCCCACAGCATCTACGTCTCTTGTTCCTCCTTACAGTAGCTGCAGGTGCTCTGGTCCCCATCACCGTGTCCCTGAAATGCAACTACTCACTCGCTAGCCTCTCTGGTTTTAGTCTCTAATTCTCCAAGCCATCCAGAATGCTTTCTCTCTACTGTCTACCAGACTCTTTTCCATCACGACAATTCTCTGCTCAGGAATCATCTTGGGGTCCCCTGCTTCCTATAAAATGAAGCCTAAGTCCCCAGCTGGGTTCTAAGGGCTCTCCACATGTGCTGGGACACCCCTCATGTCCTCTTCTCCTGGGCACTTGCCCTTCTCTGTGGCCACTTCAGAATTTTCCCTACACCCCATCACAAAGTCATCTCTTTATCTCCAGGGATCCATCATTTCCCCGAAGTGCCTTCTCCTTTCCTGCTGTTCACCCTACTCTCTCCTCTCCCTCAAAGTCTGGCTCAGACCCCACCTTTGTCACAAGATTTGGACATTCCCGCCCAGTCTTGAGAAGGAGGTTTAACACTGAACCCCGTTCTGCCCCAGAACTTCATGCCTAGCATCCAGCAAGGAGCTTCCTATCTGGCGAAGGAATGAGATGTCACATTACATGGTGTCCCTCACAGGCCTGTACCAGATGGTAAGAAATAGTGTTGGGGTTGCTCTGTTCATATATTATTTCTACCAGTAGAACATCATTGACCACCATTTATTAAGTATCTACCACTTGCCAGCTTACATAGGAATTTATATCCTTTAATCCTCACAGACAACACTGCGCACTTGTGATATTTTTCAGCCTGGAAATATGAGAAAGGGGAGGATATCAGG